GAAGAGTCATCTGGAACAGAGTTATGACATTGTCATAAAAAACTCTCAAAAAACAGCGAGGAAGAACAAAGAACGGTTCGACAGAAACATTCGTGAGTCCACACTAGGTGTGGGAGATCGTGTTTTAGTCCGAAATCTTCGCTTAAGAGAAAAGCATAAATTAGCAGACAAATGGGAGCAAACAGTGTATATAGTTCTCAAACAGATGGAAAACTTGCCAGTATACACTGTAAAACCAGAGAACGGAGAAGGACCCAACAGAACACTCCACAGAGATCTTTTACTGCCTTGTGGTTTTCTCTCTTCATTAGAAAATGAAACAGAACGCGTTACGAAACCTAGCAGACCTCATACAAGACAGAGTTCAGCCTTAGAACCTGACCCAGATGAGCCACTTGACGAAGAGGTAGATGAGTTTTATTACTCTGATCTTCCACAAGTGCTAAACCGACCATCCTATCAAATAGCGGTCACCTTGCCAAATAGGGAACTCATAGCAGATTCAGGACCGGTAAATAATATTCAACAACAAAACACACTATCCTTACACACAGGGGATCGCAAGGAACCAACCTTAGCTGGTAATGAAAATGCTGAATTGTCCTTACTTGACAAAGGCATCAACACCGAAACATTCTTACCTGACAGAATGAGTGAAACTGCGACATTCTTACCTGAAAGAGTGAAAGAAGCAGCAACATACTTACCTGAAAAAACGAAAAAAAACGAAGTATACTTACCTGACGTAGAAACGGGGGATGAAACTAACACAAACCTACCTCAATTGGATGGTGTCCTAAAGTCGCAGCAACGTGATGTAAGTTTTGAACCCATCATACACGATCAGACACATACATCTGAAAAGACCAAAGTCTTAGAGAATAGCTCATCAGCTCTGTCGGAAACAGAGAGCTCACTTCGTCCTGTCTCAGTTGAGAATCAAACCGAAACGGATGAGCATGATACTGTGCAACCAGAGATGTATGTCAGGAGATCTGAACGAAGTAGTCAGCCTCCTCAAAGACTAACTTACTCTCAATTGGGCAATCCACTAGTGACCGTAGTTAGGTCCCTTTTCCAAGGACTTAATAAAGCTTTTATTGACTCTCTTACTCAAGAAGTTGTGTACCCCGTAGAAACAATGCACAGGGACGTGCATGATATTTAATGGGGGAGGATGTAACCCAGAAGCTAGAACCTTAATGAGGTATTAACTAATTGGCTTACTAATATGATCCATCCTCAATTTAGATAAAATATAAAATATAAATTAAGGAAATTAACAATACTAATTAATAGATATCTAATTAACTAATAGATAATTTCATAATGAATTATTGGAAGGGTGAATAACTAAAATAACGAGTTTAATATTAAACATCGGTTAAAACAAGAATCTTGAACATCCCTAACAGAAACAGAAGAGGAAAGCTGTATACTATTGGTCCAGGTGGGAATCTGAAATTTCATTGGCTGAGAGAAATAAGTCCCGCCTCCGCGAAATAAAACCGTGCGACGCAGCTGAGCGAGAGGAGAGACAAACGGCTGTGCAGCACGCAGATACAGAAAGCAAAGACTGAGCGGTTAGAGAGAGAGAGAGAGAGAAAAAAAAACAACGGTCGAGGCCGTGAAGAACCCTGATTTGGGTGCCGCATAGATAGAGGGAGAGGCGGACTTGACTCCTTCTAATAAGAGCTAGGAACTTGGAACCAACGCGGTGAGTAAAGAAAAAAGAAGAGAAAAAGCTAACGATGCAACTTAAAAAAAAAAGGAAACTTAAATAGCTTATCAAATTAATTCCATTCTTATAGATTTGTGTGGAGACGACAGAGTGAACCAATCCTCTGTAGGAGGGAACCGTTGGAGCGCGTTGGTGAGTGAATGAGATTAAATTCAGTAAATTATTAAATTCAAAAAGCTAATTACAGCAACCGAGGTGACAGCAGTGGGCTGGTAGACGTTAGATCCCAGGAGTTAACATCTCAAACTACCAGTTAACGGTGGTAGGGCATATAGGAGTTAACGGCTCAAACCGCCAGTTAACGGCGGTACGGCATATGGGATTCCCAGGAGTTAACGGCTCAAACCGCCAGTTAACGGTGGTACGGCCTAGATGTACAAGGTCCTCAGGGGCGTTATAGCTAACGCCATAGAATTAGCAATGCGTCCCTTAACCAAACATTTAATAATAAAAAAAAATAGATAAATAAAAATAAATAAAAGCTAACTGATTAGGGAGGAATTATTTTACAAAGGTGGACAGAAGGACCAGAATTTATATTTTGTTGAATTTTGTTATAGAACATTTTATTTATTTATTTATTTATTTATTTATTTATTTATTGTGTTACAGATATACAAGGTGTCACAATGCTGTATAGAAACACAACTAAATGTATCCTTGTTGTCATGAATGTATTTCTTGTTGAATAGTGTAGAGTAATAGAATCTAACTGAGCCTATTGAGCTGAACAATTGTTGTCATATGTAATTATATTTCCAGAGCTACTGAGAATTATTTTAATAGACAATCAAATTGATGTTATGTTAGTTGAACTGTGAACCCAACATGATTGGCTATGCCAATAGAGTGAAGCATTTGTTTAAGTCTGTAAGACTTTATGCTGTGATGTGACGAGAAGGGTCGATGCCAACTTGCTAACAGTCCTGTTGTTTACAGGCTGGGTTTTTTTTTTTCTTTGGGTTTGATCCCGACTCCTATGATCACTCACTTGGAACGAGAACTGGATTTCTTCCTGACGAGGGAGATGGCGAGCCTTAACCACTGAACGAACCAGGACATCTCAAGTAACTGAAGAGCAGACTGCTCTCTTCTGTGAACAATCTCAACAGTGCGGTAGGAAAAAATCGCACCACCGGACTCTGACTTTCACCCCAAGCGTGGGGATTTGACTTGACGCCGGCTGACTTGTGACTCATATGATCAAATCTCATACCGACCAATTTACTATTGTCGATTGTTTTCATCTGTTTTTGTGTGTTATCTTTATGTGTTATATTTCCCATTATTATTAAAATTTAGTATATAAACCGTTTCATGCTATACCCGTGACTCCAGTCATTCTTAAACAACCTCCAATTCTCCCCGAACCTAATTATTGGCCCATTTGTTTATTTTTTCTTTTAATTATCTTATTGTATCCTGTAATCCGGTTACAGTGGGAAAGAAATGAGCTAAGAAGTATCTGGGGATGTGCCCCTTAGGAAAAAAAGCTGTAAAAGCCCAAATTTTGTAGCATGTGCCACCTCGCATTAGCACCGTTCCATCATAAACACATTGATACCTACATTGGGTGGGAGATTAAATCTATTTTTGAGGCATCACAATGCAGAAACAAGGGACCCTGAATCGATTTTAAAAATACAAACTTGTGTTAATGGAAATCAAAAGCAAAATATCGAGAAACATGAGACAGAACTCTAAAAAGAGGAAGTGGAGCACCAGAACAGTTAGCATAGGAAGCACACAGAGGCACAAGTTCTGCCTGTACGAAGTAGGAGTCATTACTGAGGAAATAGTGAACCACATAGTGAACGAAAGAGATGGCCGAGTGAGACCAGTGGTCTCTCTCGCTCTCTCTGAAGGAGCATGCTGCCTGTGTGAGTCTTTAACTCTGTGACATTCTCCCTCTCTGCTGCTTGGTGAACGAGTCAGATTAAAGCTCAAATGCACCATCAGTGTGTCCAAGGATTTACCAGTGCCTGGTTTCCAAGTAACATTTAAATTTGTTTCTAAGAACTCACTATTTTTTCTGTGAGTCGATTTGAAAGGTTTATCAATTTAGACTAATCACAGACAAATAAACTGATGTTTTTAATCATGAATGAGATTATAAACTAAAAAATTCTAACACAGGCTTGCTGGCGACAAAGCTGCCTGTTTCTACAAGTCTGAAAAACATTAGAGAGAGACGTTCTATAAATAACTAAATAAATCTGTGAGACAATTTTCCCTAAGGCTTTATACAAGGTCCTGTTACCACATCAGTCCATTCACCCTGCAATCCTTCTGAGAACTAGCCGGCTGATGTACAAGCAAGAAAATCATCATTAACTTCTGCCAAAAGTAATAGTATAAAAAACTTCATGGGTCATTCTAATTTTCTCTTGCAGGTGGTTTTAACACTGTACGTCTGCATGTAATAATGCTTGTGCAGATTCTTACATTCCCTATGCAATCATTTTAAAATGATGGCTGGTAAATGCAAAGTTAAAATGATGGCTGGTAAATGCAAAGTTAAAATGATGGCTGGTAAATGCAAAGTCATTTCTGTTGTTGCAACCTGTAATTGTGAGTGACACAGAGGAATTCATTAATGTCAACTACTGTTTCCACTGGAACTCATAAAAGCCATCTAGTAATATGTTTAAAAAGACAAGTAAAGGGAGATAAGTAATGTCAGGAGCCTAAAATATTACATCCATACTTCTACATAGTTTTATGATAACATGTTTTTACATTTTGTCGTTCCTACCCATTGTTATGCTTAAAGACATCGGATTATCTAGAATATAGTCACCAGACTTGAGTGCATTTCAGCCATTCACTTTCTGTAATCAACTATAAAAACTGGAAAAGGGCCAAACATGTAGATCTGGCGCGTCAGTGACCGGGGGGGGGGGGGGGGGGGGGGCATGGGAGTAAGAAAATGTTAGTTTTGAATTTATTTGAAAGACAAACATTAATATACATGAAAACAATCCTTTCAAAGAGGATAAAAAGTATTTGGTTAAAACAAAAAACAACACAAACAGGGAAAAGCAGACCAGTGACGCAAAAGCCTTAAACATATGTGGCCTTGGTCTTGAGGTTAGCCAAGAAAAGTTAACAAATGATCTTGTGCTAGCTGCTCTTTCTGGTCTGTACTAACCTTACTCAGAAATTCTCAAAGAAAAAAAATATGTGTTTAGCTCATGTTTAAAATGACTGAAAGATCTAATAAAACTGTGGACAAAGTCAACCAAATAATACATCTTACCTGCCACTTCCACGATGTCTCCTGGGACAATGTCCCTGGCCTTGATTCTCTGGACGCTCTTCCTGTCCTGGCGGTATACCTTCCCCATCTCTGGCTCATATTCCTTTAGAGCTTCAATGGCATTTTCTGCATTACGCTCCTTCACAGTAGAAGTGTGGGAAGTGTCAAAAACATTCAACACTTTACAAGATCAGTTTTTTTTTTAAAGAATCTTTGTAAACAATTTCTGTGAATAATATTCTATGGAATAATATTAGTGTAGAACTATTTATAGTTTCTTTAACAGCTGAGCGAAAGGTCATTTTTAAAAGATGTGGTTCACTAAAAAAAAAACAACAACATTTTTCAAAGATTATTTCTGGTTCTAATCAGTCACTCTGCTTTTTCATGCAGGCTGAACATGAAAATAGTCTCCTTCACCTATCTCCCGCTTTAGTTTCTGATAGAAAATAGACTAAAAATCTAGGATTTAAAAAGCCTGACAGATCTACATCACACTGTCACTTAACATTCATGGACTCACCGATCTTGGCTCACAACAGGGAAGTATGTTGTTTTAGCATTCAGGAAACGTCTATGCTGGTGGAGACTAATCTGTGGTGGAGTTGCAAATGCCAACTCCACCAAACAGTAGAAGCTCCTCTAAGCTTGTGTTATTTGTAGATAAACCATCCATGTCAGACAGCAAATGGACTCTGAGGTTAAATTGCATTGCTGTAAACCAATCAGAGGCAAGATGCCCAAATATCAGGAAATAAGACTGAAGCGTCCAGGGTCACTGCAACCCTCCAACCCTAAATGCCCCCCCCCCAATCAACACTGAGGTGACATGCGCTGCTTCATCGTGGCTGCAGGAGCTGAAGCTGGGATAGTCCCAACCTACAACCCCTCTTTTTTTACCTACCACCCCTCCTAGTGGACACTTATGTTGTGATGTCTGAAGTCTGTTGCATATCTCTGTCTGAGGTGGTTTGTTTCTGCAGAGCAAAGCTGCTCTCCTGCTGGAGAGTAGCTCTGAAGTGCCTCATTTTTGCCCTCCACCTGAACCAATCCTCATGTTACCCTCTTATCTCTATTAAGGTAGCGCGACTCAGGGTTGCGAATGACCACAGTCACCTATACTTGTCATGTGTCTTGCCCATGAATGTCTGATCTCTGAATTGTGTGTACTGAAACTCTAATTTCCCTCTGGGATTAATAAAGTATCTTTGATTTGATTTGAAATCCTGGCGTGGTGCCAAAATCTGCTGCGTTGTGGAGTTGCTAATGCTATTAGTTAGCTTCTACTAACCGAAATGTTCTCTGCCGTTTCCTGGACACTAAACTAATAGCAGCCTTCATTTCACCATCCTTTTTCTATCAGAAGCGAATGCAGGACATAGGTGTAGGAGACTATGGTCATGTTCAGCCTGCATCAAAAACTCAGTGAATCACAATGTTTTTTCACTGAACTACACTTTTAAGTGGATCAGTAACCACGGATGTATATATTCACTTATTCAATAAAAACTGAAAGGATTTTAAACCTACAACAGAATTCTCACTTGATTTTCTGCAAATGTTTCCTTCTAGCCTGCTTTAATTGACAGCAGGTTTTCCAGAGATCAGAGCGTTTCAGAGGCAGGTCCCAGCCTGGCTATTAGTCTTGAGTAGACAGGTAAACACTGAGAATTCACTCCAAGTAAATTACAGCATTTGTGAAGGAGAACTACTGGGACTTAAAATGTAAATAACAGCCTCTTCTCTGGGTCATGCACACCAGGTTTGTTTGCACAAATTAAGGAAAACTATTGGTCAACACTTCCCCATTTACTCAATTCCTAACTGGACAGTCATCACACATGAATTTAAAACACACATCCTTTTGATCCCAGCATACTGTAACAGTCTGCATAATCTCAGGCTTGTTCTGATGATTTAACCAAGTAATTACCTATTTTGACCTTAGACTCAGTTTCATCTTTCAATTTAAATAATTGGTGCTACACAGGTAATTAACAATTTTCAGTGTGTGATGTACATCTCAAATGTTTTAGCTACATATTCTGTTACTGAGACTAGAAAATACCAAATCTGCAATGAGGGACAAGTGACAGGCCAAGTTTGTAGGTCATTGGACAAGACAGTGATAATGAGAAATTTACATCATGTTAAAGTACTTTTTAAAATGTCGTCCATTTACCTGCCAGACTCCTACAATAGCATTTGCTATGAGAATAAGCAATATAACAAAAGGTTCCACGAAGGCTGTGACAGTCTCTTCTCCCTCTTCAAACCAGGCCAGCACCTGCACATGAAACAAAAAGAAAACACAAACTAATTATAAAGCAAATATAAGATTCAAGGGCCAAACAACCATCTGTGTTTGGGTAAGGCTAGAGACAACTTCCAAAAGAACCAAAAATAGTTTTAATGTACATGTAGTTCAAAGTCAGTTTGGTGAAATGCTTAAACACCTGTGACAACTTAGTGATATTGTGTAATAAATAAGTAATGAATAAAAACACAGCAGCATACCACAGTTTAATGAGATCACCTGAGATATAAAGGCTTTTTTCAGGTGATGCAACAGATTCAATTACCATTGAGTTTTCCATTAGTGAAATAAACCAGTCCAAAGTTAATGTTATAAAAACATTGTTAGTTAAAGCTATTGTCATAAATTAAATTAGAACGCAGGTCTTTGAATCTGAACATAAAACTGAGCTGGACTCCATTTGAAATAACCAATAATGGCTTTACATGAATATTGTGTGGTTTATAATTTAAATATTGTATGCTACCCTATACACTGCAACATTAAAGGTATAGCAATCAATGTTTTTCTTTCGGGTGGATCACGTCAATCATTGGTCCGCAAAAGCGTCAATTTCTGGTGAAGCCAATCCTGGGTTAGTTTTCACTTCCTGCGCATGCGTACTCTGTGCACCCCCGCATTCTCAAGGAAATCAGGAGGAGGCTAATGCCATCCAGCCCGCTCCCTGAATTTAGCCTGGCAAGCCAGACTAAATAAATGTATTATTTAAACTTTGCAAAGCAAGAATTTGGACTAGTTCACTAGGCTACACAGATGCCGCTGTTGCCGGTTTTCTGCTCGAGAGATAAGCTAACGTTCTGCATGCTATTTTAGAGCCTCGTATTGCACATTACGGCCAGCAGCTCCTTGCAAACAGGCACTGGGAGAGTGTTGCACAACGTGGAGAGCGCGGTTCTTTCCTGAAATTCAGAAACATCGATTGCTATACCTTTAAATTATCTTGTGCCATATAGGAAGTACATTAAAGTGGGATGCTGGGGTTGATTTGCAGTGTTTATGGTTTTTGTCTGACCCAAAGAAACACATAAAGACACAGCGGGGAGCCTTGCCAACACCATCATTGGTGGTGATGGCAGGTGATCCACCAGATATCAACATTGGTCTAAGGTACAAGAACCCCAACAGTTTATTTTATGTCACCTTGTATCAAAAACTCACTCAGCTATAATGAGCCTTCATTCAGGAACTACATGTGCCAGTAACACACTGAATTACGATCAGGGATCCATCTTTTTAATGGTAATATATATTTGAACAACATATACATGAAATCAAGACTTCTTTTTTTCTGTTGCCAGTGGCACACAACTGGGCCAAGTGTGTTAGGAAAAAACCTGCAGGAACAGTTTTCTCCTTTTATAGAATCTGTGCCAACGGCAGAGTGTGTCAAATCAGAAGCCAAAACAATCCCACTCTTGTCTTACAGTAACCTAGTTAGGGAAAAACAAAATCAAACTTAATTATCTGTCAATTACTCAATGAAATCTATGTCTAAATATAAACACTTGTCAACTATTTCTATACAACTTTTCAGTAAGAATGGAACAATAAAGTAAATATCGGAGTCTGCATGTGTGGTGAAGTTGAAAGATTTATAGATTTTGTGAGCATAGCTGACTGTTATCACTATTCCTTGATGAGTGATGATATTCTGAGCTAGCAGCCAATCCTAAAGCAGAAAACTGCTCTGTGAAAGTGAACTGAGCACAGTTTCAAACATACACTATGCTGAGCACTGCTGCCTTCTGAATTCAAGTACAAAGATGTCCTACATTGTGTGAGTTCACACCGTTGTGTTGAATGTACAACAGCACAAATACATGACCTTTACAGAATTGCAGAAACGTGGTCATTACAGAATAACAGCATGTTAACAACACCAATCATTAAGGAGTGACATTTGTTTTTTGTTGCTTTTGTTCTTTAACAGCCAGACACTAAATAAGCTTCTTATGCCAACAAGCTCCAGAATCAAAAAAATTGTTGAGATGATATTGAGCACGACTTATTTAGCATCATCAAGGTCACAGCAGCAGTGCTGTTCAGAAGTAGTACTGAGTTTCACTATGTATAGATTTTTGTTTCAGCTGCTGTTTTTCCACTCTAACAGTTACTTTTTACATAGGATTGCAACAAGTTTGGCACTGATGACACAGGGGTGGGATTAGATGATGTCAACCCTCACATCACCACTGCCTTCATGGCTTCCAATCAGCCAGCAAAAACAGCCAATCACATCACCACAAGTAAAGAATCTGACCCAGAAAAGAAAAGAAGGAAAGAGGGAAGCTGGGATAACAGAAAGGAAAGGTCAGTCTGAACCTCAGGCTATTCCTATACCCAACCTACTTCTGGCTAATGTCCAGCTACAATAGAGCAGAGAAATCTGAACTAGCTTTGAGGTGCAAAAACATGAAACCTTTACTCTCCACTTCTCTGCATAGTCCCATCTCACACACAAGTGGATGTGCCAATCGTACTCCAAGCTGACAAAGCACACACTTCTTGTAGACCAAGAAGAAGTGTTTGTATTAGTGGAAGCTTAGTGCTGAAATGCAGTCAAGGAGAATAAATGACATTTATTGGATGACAGGTTTTTGATGTTGGGTTGTCAACCATGTCATTTTGCAAGAAATCCTCAGTGTGTTTGCTGTTCATTACATTCTGCCTGGTGCAAATGACAGAAAGAACAGAATTTCTTTGACAAGCCATATAACAAAACAAGCACGAGGTATCAAATCCACTGAACTGATTTAAGGAAATATTCACACACATTTTCACATCTTCAAAAGAAAGACGTGTTGTGGAAGGGTCTGGAAAAGTAATTTGTTGTCTTTATTTTAACTCATTCACTGCCATTGACGACTAAAGTCAATGTGGGGCAGCAGTAGCTCAGGTGGTAGAGCGGGTTGCCTCATGATCGGAGGGTCATGGGTCTGATTCCAGCTCCCGCCAGGGGTATCCTGCTGTTGTGTGCTTGGGCGAGACACTTCACCCAACTTGCCTGTGTTAGTGGTGGTCAGAGGGGCCGACGGCGCCAAATGGCAGCCTCGCCTCTGTCAGACCTCCCCAGGGCGGCTGTGGCTACAAGTAGCTTACCATCACTAGCAGTGTGTGAATGTGAGAGTGTGTGAAAGCGTCTTTGGGTGTCTAGAAAAGCTGGTATATAACTTCAATGCATTATTATTATTATTAAAGTCGTCATTTTAAATCCAACCGTTCACTGCCAACGACGACTTAAGTCGTCATTTGCATCTTTTTTTACTGTGTGGGCATCGGAACGAGCCCCCGCACCGTGAGAACAAACACCTCAGCTCTAAAGCCGATCTTCAACCGCATACGTCACACGTCACGTGATCAGGAAGCAGAAAATCCATGCATTAGGAGATCGTTTTGGGCCGCTGCTGTAAAAAAACGTGAGGTGCGAACTGGAAAAGCTTCTGCCGATCACAATTCAACAACGGATTATGAAAGAACGGAAAACGCTCGAAATGCGTGGATTCTTCCTGATGTAAGAGGTGAGTTTCCGCTTTGTTTTGGCGTCGACATCATCCTAGCGCGCAATGTTCTGTGACTCCTAAAAAAACAGTAAAACCAGTGAGAAATGCTGGCAGCAAAGGGCTTTACTGATCAGAATGGCCTGTGTTTGTATAGCAGCTTCTAAGGGTTCTACAACCCCCCAAGGCGCTTCACAACACAATCAGTCATTCACATGCTGGTGGGGATGAGCTACAATGCAGCCACAGCGGCCCTGGGGCGCAATGACAGAGGCAATGCCGCCGAACACTGGTGACACCGGTCCCTCTAACCACCACCAGCAGGCAAAGTGGGTTAAGTGTCTTGCCCAAGGACACAACAGCAGCATTCTCTGGGTCGGAGCCACGATCAAACTTGCAACCTTCCACTTACTAGACAGCCTGCTCTACCTCCTGAGCTACTGCTGTCCCTATAAATATGTACCAGATCTCTAACTTACTTATTAAAAAATTGCCATTAATTGGTTTCGTCATGGCAACAGCCTTTACTTAAAAAAGGGGTTGGTGACATTACTGCCATGCATACGATGGAAAAAAAAAACTGTGCTATAAACTATTTTTAGACACAGCACTGGTGCAACATATTTTCAAGTTACCTTTTCCCCCTTTATTGAACAAATGTAAGTTACAAAGAGGAAGATGACTTTTACTGGCACATAATATGCTAAACAAGGTGCTGTGAAGGAAAACTGAGAAACCAGCAAAGGCAGAAACAGTTCAAAGTTTGGGATCTAAAGTGTAACTACGGGCACATTGGCTAATGCTAGCGAGTAGCAGGCTCACGAGCAAGCGGGATCAGAAATAACATGATGGGTGTGAATCTAAGAATATCTCAACTCTACAAGCGGAAGAAAAGACCCCATCATCCTGTTTATTCTGCTGTTTGCAGTGCTATGGAGTTAGCAATAATCCGCTTTGAGTAGTGTTTGAAGATTGACGCGTTTGTGAATTACATGCGACAGTGGCTTGCCATAAGCAGTGTTAGAGCAGAACCACAGCTGTCATGTTGCTGCTTTGACTCTGTTCTGCCAACACCTCTGCAGTATTATGGCAAACCGCTGTAGCATGTATTTCATAAAAGTGTCAATCTTCAAACATAATTTAAAGCAGATTATTGCTAACCCGTACATAATAGATATGTCACCATTACATTTTTAGCAGTATAAATTAAATGCTATTAGCATTTCCAGTAGCTACCACAGAACATGTTAATGGAATACATGAAATTCAACTGATTAGATATGTTCTTTTGACTAAGATGAGTGATATTAATACAAACCTAAAATGAAATGTAGATCTTTTTTTCCATAAAATATCTATTAACTATAAATATCAGATGGGAAACAGGGAAATAGACAACACCAATTTAATACATATTAAAGAGTCTTTTATAACAAGAGTCTGACATTTCAGCTTCATAATTTAGTTGTTTAATTTCATATTTTTTGCAGTAGACCACAGTCTTGTTTCACTTGAAACATTGTCAAATTGAATGTTCTATTAATCAGAAGATTCAATAGAATATTCAAATAGTAAAATATCCAATAGCTGCAGTCCTAATTTAAACCTTTAACAGAACAGAAAACAAACCATGTGAACTAGAAGAAACCAAAACACAACCTGCACCAAACCAAGGTACGTCTGAGAAGGGAAAAGTTTATTAACACGGTGGTGCCTGAACAAGTTCACTTAACGATGATTCGTGAACTTATTTTTTTTTTGTGAACGTAAACCAAATTCGCACGTATTTTGCCTGATGAATATTAAAGTGAGCTCTCATGGCGTGTGGGAACGGGTTTATGAACGGTGTTCTCTCACAGTTTGAGAGCTCCAGATCTCCACAGAGCTAAGGCCTTAGCTAAAACATCCTGTTAATCATATGGTTCATAAAAAGTAGACCAAGAAAATGCGACTATCATACACTGTAGATATGAGGTATTAGAGTGGTGTCACTAATTAGATTAAAAGAAAATGTTCTTTTCGAAATTACACTGACAAGAATGTCTGAAGATATTTCAGAATCAGCTTTATTGTAGAGTACGTGAGTGAGACTCACGCTACCAGGAATCTGCTTTGGTGGTTGTTATTGGATTTTAATTACATGCGCTACTGGTGTTTGTCAGTGTGTTTAATTACAAGAACTACTTTTGGTCTTCAGAGATTCTAAGAAATTTTTTTATGTTGGTGCTACAACATTTTGTTCTGTCCTACCAAACCTAAGGCCTTCGTAGCACCAGTGCTATAAGCTAAAAATGTTAACGTACAGCTCTGTATTAGAGCTGCATCTATAATGTTTAATAATTCAGTATTGTGTTGCATAATAAAGTATGGATCTAGTAGTCCAACTTTGTCCTCAACACCTAAAATACTAAGCTGTGGGTAAAAGAGGCAGACATTTGCAGTCAAGGACTTATTTTTCCACTAGAAAAATCTGTCTGAGTGACTTATCTCTGTCACACATAAAAAGAAAGTATGCAACCTGATTTGATGCAAGAGCAGGGGTTCAGATATGCACCACTGAACCAGTTTCACCAATTATTTTAAGTGTGCACTCTGTCCTGAGGTTGTCTAGACATTATGGTGGAAAAACGAAAGTTCAGACAATGCCCAAATGCCCCCCCCCCCCCCCCCCCCCCCCCATTAACAAGTAAGAACTGCTAATATTTATAATCATGCTATGCACAATAAACTGTCACGGTCGGGCACACGGACTGAACAGATATTGAATTAAAAAAAGAAATCCAAAGACAAACTTTGACATACCTTGACAAAGTCTAAAAGAACTATTCATCAAGACTACTCTAAAGAATTATGGGTCTTGTTCCCTGAGGCAAAATACAAAGAAATGAGTGATGACCCAAGACTTTTCCACAGAATTTTACTCATTAGTACTAGTTCATATGTCAAACCTGTTGTCTAGCACAACTGTAAAAGACAACCATGCATGATTGCACTTTAAGACAAAAGTGTTTACGTTGATCCATACTGACAGAATGAGATGCTTCCACAGGTCAGTGAACTTGCGTATACTTACAAAAGATATGCAGGCAGCAAGTAAAAGGATCCTCACAAGCAAATCTTCAAACTGTTCAACGACCAGTTCCCACAAGGATTTTCCTGGAAAAGAGGATTCGGGACAGCAAATGTATATTATTTCCAAGAAATTATTACATATTCAAGTGAAATCTTAAAAGAGTACGTGGTGTGCTCACCCTCCTCTGCTGGCAACTCTGAAGATTATCCCATCAGACCGCAGGAAGAAACGAGAGAGAAAACAAGAGATGGAAAGGCAATTACTTAAATGTTATTACTTGCTGAGCATCGAGTAGCTGTGGTGGTGGCACTCTGGAGTTGTTTATTAATTCAGTCCAGTAAATGATGCTTTGCCGTATTTCAACATCACGCTGTGACGTCACCAGTTTCCTTTTTTTCTTCCTTTCGGCTTGCCGTCGCACTTTCAACTGCTATGGGCCAGACGTGAACCGGTACATTAGCTTCTTGTTTTATAATGAAACACACTGAACCAGCTCCTTACCGTTTGGGCCATATCGTTCTCGTTGTTTCTTCACTTCCTCCGAACTCAAACCGGTGCTTTCATTTACGTTAAAAAAGCTGAAAACTTCTTCAACCGTCTTGGTGTGCGCGTTGTCCATGGTGACTCGAGGACACCACTTGTTCCGCTGGTTCCAACCTCAACCAGTCACGGTCTTTTCGCCCACCGGTGTTCGCGGGTGGTTCCTAACAAGTATTTAAAGAGGGTTGTAAGATTAAACAACCACTCAGCTGACAGGTGTACGGCTAGTAGCTGTCTGTACTTGAGAACAGCGTGGAACGCAGGTGTAACGGTCAGAGTGGACGAATTAGCGGCTCCGGTGCTAACGAGTTAGCTAGCGGGCTAAAGGCTCTGGTGGAACTGGCCGGCTTGTCCTCCGCTAGTCTCCTCGTGAGAGATTCGACAACAAATTCATATCAGCGCCGAATCAGTTTAATCTCGTTACTCACGTACTCCTACTTTTAAATCAGCTAATCCGTTCAAATGGAGAATCTAAACATGTGGTTAAGTTGCAGCTCGGCTCCTTTCGCCCGCTCCGTCGGTGTGTTGCGGAATCACTAGGGTTGCGTTCGAGTTCGGCACCAATCGCGTCTCTTCGTTGAATGCGGTGTTCAGTGTCCGCATGTGGAATCTGCTCATTGGTTGACGGAACCGGAAGTGCTACTTTCTCTCCACACGATTGAGTTGCTGTTGCAAAATCATTTAACCACCTGAACACTTTGTGAAATAGGGCTATTAGTCCTAGTCAACATTAATTGATTATTCTCAGAGTTTAAATGAACTATTTCCCACTAGTTTATTTATAGAGCTGGGACATTTGTCAGGAAAATTGTTTAGGGTTCGAGTTATTTTCAAAATACCTAACTTGGTATGCATTGCTGATATTAGCAAGTCAGTTCCTACTATATTTGAAAACAATATTTGTATAGAATATTAAAGAATTTAATTATAAAAATTTCAAGATCTTAAATATTATAAAATATTTAGAAATAATTGAAAAGACCACATGAAGGCACAGGCAAATAAAGATTTTCATGACCACCCACTTTAGTTTGCTGGGTAATTAAAACATTAATTTTAACATTTTTAATTTAACATTCAAGCTTATTATAACAGCTTTAACTTTTTGTGACACTAAATTTTGAATGTTGTATATCTTTTCAAATTGATGGCCATCTTATGTGTAGGTCAGCTTTTACTTGCTTTTATTCATTATGACAATTTATTTTCATTTCACAACCATTTTAACTTCATTATGGATTGTCTGGTGATATAGTATGTACCTTTTTTTCCTTACATTATAATGATCAGGATTTGTTTCATATACTTAATACATATATTTTATGTTAGAGTGAATTATGTTAAAATTATACTTTTATATTGTAAGTACTATAAGTCAATCAGGGCATTAAAGGGGTGTCCTTTTCACTTTCATTATATACTAATAGTATTTTTAGAGGTGTCTGCTAATAATCCCAGTCTCTGTCAGACTGTTAGAGCGAGATAGTGATATTACACCCTCGCCTCAATCGTTTGTTCCCTATCTTCACATCGTCAGAATGCCGTTATCTGTCACTGAAGCCCTATGAATTGTCTCTGTAAAGAAACAAAACTGTTATCTTGGGCAGTTTGAAAGAGAATCCTTTAATCTGTTCACATCAAAATTCCCAAATAAGTTCAGACAGCGCCTGCAGTATCTGGTTTGGAGGCTGCAGGTTGTCGACTACCCGAAAGACAGCTTATTTTCAGATACTGGCATTACTGTGCTTTGTCACAGAGAACTCGATTGATAAGGAAAACCAAATCTGTGCAGTTCTGCTTCTCAGATCATAATCTGTCAATCAGCTGTTTGGATGCCTGAAGGGCAAACGGAGAAGAAAGTTGTTGTAATTACACTCCCCTGGGTAACAGCTCAGTCTGGTTTCAGATCAATGAACAAAAGACAGAAAATTTATAGATTTAGTGTTGAGAGACATTTCTCATTGGCTTGTTGTTTGTGACACGATTTAATCAGCTGCCCCAGTTCAACAAGTTAATGAGGAAACATCGATCTGGTTTGACAAGAAACACTTAATTAAAACAAAAGTGACTGTTTCCCCCCATGACATTTGGACCATAACAGAATCCTGCATTTACATGATTTGTCATGCTTGTTTTGAATTATTGCAACATGTAACTATTTACTGCCAAATCCCATGGAAATTGAGCTTTTCAGCTTTTTCTTAATAGTCAAATCATGAAGGATCCCTGGTTCAGCACCAGTGTATTTAAGGTTTCAACAACCAAATATGGCTATGTTTAGCATTTCAGCACAAAACTCGTTGATCACCTTATAAGGTGGTATGGAAAGGTGAAATCTTTGAAGAAGATCCCAGGATGAGACAGTTTATAGAAAATAGTTTGGCTTCTTGGCAACCAGTAACTGTCCTTGAAAAAGAAACGGACACCTCACAGCCGTATGGGGGCATCTATTTTCTCTGCTCACAAAATTTGATTTACATAGATATTATTAATGCATTAGATATATGACGCATAGCACATTATGAGACAAAGCTACTGTGAGTCAGATGACAAATACATCCTTCTGCTGAGAATATATTTAAAAAATCATGTGAAATTAGGAGTTAAATGAGCAAAGGGGATCTTCATAAATCTAAAATGTGTACAAAATATAAGTTAATTACATTTATTTGGCTCTTTTTGAATACTTTTGGCTAGAAGCCCAAGAGGCTAGATGACTACATCGGACGTCAATGGAAGCAGCTTGTAAAAAAAAAAAAATAAATAAAAAAAAAACAGTTTCTTTCTGAAGAATGCACCAAAAGTACATCTTCCAGCAGCCACTCTCAATGGAAATATGCTGCCCTCAAGTGGACAGAAATACTACTACATGATGCGCCTTCTGAATTTGCAGTAGAATAAAAACGATTAATGATTTGTTTACCTTAAGGACTGTCTACGATCTAGAACTAAACCAAGTTTGACTCATACCTATGTAGTTATCTTCAAAGCTGAAACTACCCAACTGATGCAGGACAAATTAAAAGTTTTATTTGAAAACTTACAAATGAAATATTTCCTTGTTTGTCAGGTTATGAGAATGGGGATTCTTTATTGTCGAATTTACTGATCTATACTAAATAATCACACAAGCAAGCAAATGAAATTTGTATTTCAAAACTTTAGTAAAAAAAAATTCTTCTACAAGGTGAAGAAATTTTAGAGGAACTATTCTTGCAGTTTCAAAATGTTACCAGCAGAGGGGACTGACCCAAATAAAGGAGCGTCTTGATTGACATCCTTGGTTTTTAGGTTTTACTATTTATTTTAACAATTTTTATCAAATGCTTCACCTAATGAACTCAGTAGTATTTGAATTCCATATTGTTTTGTCTGCATTCAAAAGGTATGAAGAGCCTTTTTAACTCACTGTAAAGGTTGTAAATGACTAAACACAAATTATATCACAAAATAGAACGAAAAGCTTTTACAACAAGATATAAAACAATAGCAAATTTGGTTTATTCCAAACAGATAAGTAACTAATGCAGAGTATTGGGTAACTTTAACTAAATGAAAAACAATTACTATAATTGTAATGTTCAAAGGCTGTGTAAAATTTCTAAGAAAATTTAAAATATATCAGATCAATGAACTATCCCTTAGCCATTTAATACAATTCTGAATAATAATAATAATAATAATAATAATAATAATAATAATAATAATAATAATAATAATAATAATAATAATAATGAAAAAATACTCTTTAGCAGGACCATACATAACAACACTATTATGAGGCCATAATTTGTGTTTTTATAGTTTTATATATTTTATATAAACTAAAACGTTTGTTATGTTTGTTTATTTTTAATTGATATTGTGGGAACAAAACAAACATTGAAAAACAAAATTGACAAAAAACTACAGTGATGTCAGCAGAAACGTGAACAGCTTGAATCTCGCGAGATAATAGTCAGAGGTCAAAGTTGACATTACCATGTGTGAATGAATTCAGTCTGCTGTGGAACGTTTAGCTTCAGAAACCCTCCGTTTTTGATTGTATTCGTTGAAGTTTACAACTGTAGTTATTAAAATAAGTTTCTGCACTTCGGTTTAAAGAAAAATAGCGCCGAACTCTTTCGCTGATGGAGCACTTTGCATTTTGTAGCTGCTATTGTTTAGCTCGACATGTTTAAAATCCGACCACTGTTAAACACCTTCGTGAACTACAGACAGACTCTGAGGAGAAACGGTAAGCTAACAAACAAGGTTTACTGTTCATTCCACATTGTTTATATTTGTGCTTAGAAATGTGTAAAAATGTATCAAACATGTTTTCACATCAAAACGCTACTGAAACACTTCTCCTCGCAGGATGTGCTGTTAAGTTTTTGTCCACAATGAGTGACGAGTCCACGGATCAGCAGACAGAAAAGCTGCTGAAAAGGCCAAACGAGGAGAACGAGGAGTCTGAGAGGGTTAACAAGAAAGTAAAAACCGATGGAGAAAACACGGACGATGACAAGAAATACCCCAAAAAGAAAGTGGTTCTCCTTCTGACATATTCTGGGAAGGGATACTATGGCATGCAGGTACATTCCCTGAATTTGTGCTCTTTTTCTTTATGTCTTTATATGTTTTAATACATTTACATTGATAAATGGCATTTGTCTTTTAGAGGAACACTGGAAACTCCAAGTTTAAGACCATTGAAGACGATCTGGTCACTGCTCTCGTTAAATCTGGATGCATTCCCGAAGACCACGGCGACGACATGAAAAAGATGTCTTTCCAAAGATGTGCCAGGACAGATAAAGTTTGTTTTTTTAATCATGTGTCTGCACATTTCATATTGACGAAACCATCAAACAAGGACAAAACAATCAATGTTCTCTGTGTATGATGCATTATTGTTTTTCATGACAAAGGGTATTTCTGTCTTCTCTACAATTGCCTAGGGTGTTTCTGCTGCTGGCCAAGTAGTTTCTCTGAAGCTGCGGTTAGTTGAGAACATAAAGGAAAGAATCAATGAACATCTGCCCCCACAGATCAGGGTACTTGGTACGACCCTAGTTTATAAAAGCTCTAAAATGTGTTGATATTTTAGATAACAAGGCTAAGACTATGATGTGTGTTTACAGGACTTAAACGGGTGACCCAGGGATTCAACTCCAAAAATAGCTGTGATGCTCGAACATACTGCTACATGCTTCCGACAGTGGCCTTTTCCTCAAAGGATTACAACACTGGGAATAGCGCTGCCTTCCGTCTGGACCCAGAGACACTTAAGAGGGTGAACTGTCTTTTTGCCTTCTACAAAGGCACTCATAACTTTCATAACTTCACCTCCCAGAAGGCTCCAAATGACCCCAGCGCCCGTCGATACATCATAGAGATGTCCTGTGGGGAGCCCTTTATCCGCAGTGATAATGAGTTTGCAGTGATCACTGTACGAGGCCAGAGCTTCATGCTGCATCAGATTCGCAAGATGATTGGCCTGGTCATTGCAGTCATCAAGGGCTATGCAAAAGAAGAGATAATAGAACGAAGCTGGGGACAGGAGAAAGTGGATGTTCCCAAAGCTCCTGGACTCGGGCTGGTTCTAGAAAGAGTTCATTTTGACAGGTACAACAAACGCTTCGGAGGGGACGGTCTGCACGAGCGGCTGGAGTGGGATCATGAGGAAGAGGCCATCAAGGCCTTCAAAGAGGCTCACATTTACCCCACTATTGTTGAGACAGAGTGTCAGGAGGGCTCCTTGGTCAACTGGATGTCAACTCTTCCCATCCATGACTTTGAAGCATCAGCTGCTGAAGCGCGAGACAATAAGAGTCAAAAGCAGGTATCTGGAAATTCAGATTTATCAGAAATGCAGATGTACAACATAAAAAAATCTGTTTGGTTGCATATTATAATTTTCTTTTTTGCTCCCTTTTTTCCCTCAGGAAAATGCAGATGAAGGGAACAACTCCGATTAGGTCAGCCCTTTTGCAGCAAGATGCGTTTTGTTGGATGCAATTCTATTTTAAGTTCTGTATAACTGAGGTATTTTAATTTAAGAAAAGAACATCACTCAAATGCAACATATATTAACATAATAAAGTCCTCTCAGTTCTTTGTGACAACCTGTCTTCTTGTGATGATTTCACACTGAAGTAATCCCACTTGCCTGGTTATGATGGTACTGCATCATCTTTTGTAATAATTGGATCTCAATTAGTAATAAACAGTGTTGGTAGCCTAAAATATCAGTTATGTATGTTTTAACACTGCTGTCAGATATTTCTACATATTTATTTTTTATTTAACCAGGAAGGTCCCATTGAGATTAAAATCCTCCTGGCAGCAAAAGTAAAAAAAAAAATTAGCTCCATAGATATGTTATGTACAAAATTACTGGAGGCAGTTTCAACTCAGATAATCCATCTCAAGGGTTCTCAGTCTGGTTTAAAATGTAGTCAAGGAGATAAACTCGGTTAACTTCCAGTTTTTATGCAGCCTGTTCCATGCAGAAGGAGCAGAGTGAACGAAAGCCCTTTTGCCCAGTTTGGTGCGAGCAAGTGGAACACAAAGTAACAATTGATAAATTGTACGCAGACAGTGAGAAGTTACACTTCTCCTTGAGATTAAGTTACAGATGTAGGTGGGTAATAATCCAAGTACAGCTTTAAAAATGAAGGTGTACCAATGTCCCAACCTCCTGGTGGATAAAGAAGGCTATCCCACTCAAGAATACAATTCACAATGACGGATCAGTGGTCTACAGTTAGTAGTAAACCTCAGTGAGGCATGATAAACCACATCAATCTATATTATGTTTAGTAATGGAAACCATTAAAATTAGTGTACCTAATTATGTAAGAAAATGAAAATTGCTTAATTAGAAAATTTTAGAAGTTGAAGTGAGCGCGCCCTCTTGTGGGCCATGAAATATAAATGTAGCGTTAACTACTGTCGGAACTAAAATGAAAGCTACTATTTAAATATATTCTAGTGGGATGTTACTGTAAATAATATTTTCTAGGCGTTACGTTTGCATTATAGGGAAAATTATTAAATATGAATAGCAGTGGAAATATTTACAAAAAACAACGAACGATCACAGTTATATTTACAATGTAAGGCTTTTCTCCTACACTTTCGAGCTCAAGTGAACGCAGCAAAGTCAGAAAACATGGCGTTGACCAAGAAGCGCAACGTGAGTTCGAAGTTAAATCCAAAAAGACCCAAAATTGACATAGAAAGCATCGTTGAAGGTATACTAGGAAGCAGGAAGCGAGCGAACGATGTTTTCGACATTCTTGAATCCCTGCGGGTAAAAACAAAACAACGCACCTCTTTATTTGCACAAATTCACGTTGTTTAGCTAGTGGTAGTAGCACGCCTGTGCACATACTTATTACCGTCAATATGTTTGTGTTAACAGTCAGCAAAAGAGAAGGATGTCATTAGTGCTGCCAGTGCGTGCAGCAAGCTGTTCAGCACATTGTTGGAGAGAAAAGATTTGTTTATTGGGAAACTTCCTGACGAAGACGAGGCGTTAAATGGTGAGTATGGCTAGCTTCCAGGTGATGGATGGAGCCCATACAAGCTCTAATAAGTGGGAATAACATATGCTTAGGCTGATGTTTTCAGTGCTTGTTTTAATTGAGTGTTTCAAGAAAGTTCATTCTATTTTAAATGGAAAATTGGGACTTCCCAGTGGCAATAGTTGTTATTATGACTAGATTTGTCTCATAGCAAAAATAATCAGGGTTATTTTGGGCTACATTTGAGATCACTGTTGTTTACGTCACTTACTAAGTTGCAAAACACAATGCATTCATATCTGGTTTTTCTTCTGCTGTGCGACTCATCAAAACAATAAATTAAGTCTCCATCCTTATATGTCACGGCTGTATAATCTGAGCAAATGACATCAGGAATATTTCTGTTGATCAATAAGAAAGAAAGAAAACAATCTTTTATATACCACCTCTCAAGATAAAAATTACAAGGCACTTCACTGGAAGCACAGAGTTCACACATTTCGGACACCAATCTCTGCAGGTGGCAGAGTTGAGCTGCTTGGTGGTGATTAAATATAATAAATTATGAGTTTAAAGTAACTTCTACCACTAGAAGTTAAATGCCTAGCACAAGGCTTTTTTAGGAGAGAACTGGATACTTTTAGAACTTAGATCGTTTTTAAAAGCAGAGAAGAGCTGGTATGGGAGCCCAGATATCCAAGCAGGGAGGCACTGTACTGAAAAGGTGTTTTTTTCCTGGAGTTTTGATGGTTGGAAGTAGAACTTTGTTGCACAAGATCCAGCAATATTTTTTATTTGGTGTTTGTGGACTGTAACTGGAAGAATATTTTTGACATACCAAATAGACCTGTGTGGGCCTTAATTCAGCTTATTTAACCTGTTTTGACTTTTTAAAATACCACAAAACACACAAGATCTTAGGAAATGTGTATCATTTGCAGGTCGGTATGCCTACAAAGCAGAGTATGGCAGAATAATCTGTCATTGAGGAGTTTGTTTGTATAATCTTGTTATTAAATAAACAAGAGAATAAAATAAATGTTGGTTATGAACTCGAAAGTGTTTTAAGTGTGTTTTTATATATTTCCTGATGTAGGAGACTATAGTGCTGAAGAGAAGTACCACATTTTTATGCGACACCGTTACAACAGTTGTGTGGAGATGCTGCTCGAGTATCTACATCACGAAGTGCATGAAGTTAAGGTAAGCAGTGCACAGATATTTTGTCCTGTAAGGATGTTTTGTAAGATGTGTCAGAAACGTGTAAACGGTTATTATTTTAGCCACATTGTACGAGATTTGTTTATAGTTTAATGAATGTCTGGCTTCAGGAAAGTGTCCTCAGCTGTCTGATGAAGTTTGCAGCTGCAGAAGGACAGCATCCTCTTGAAGACATGGACTGGAGTGAACATTACAGCTTTCCAAGGCAACTAATACAGGTAGGATTTTATTTGTCATTTCAAGAATTCCAACATTCATAACTGCCACTGTTTTTGAACTTTCAGTTTTTTGTCTTGCCAGTTAGTGGTGGACAACATTCTGTCTAAAACCACAGACAACTCCCTGCTGATCTCCAAGTTCCAGGAATATCTGGAGATGGAGGATGTGCGTTACTATGTAATGAGCTCCATCCGTGTGAATGTCTCTGCAGTCATGGAAAAAAACAAAGAGGTAAAACGAAAACATGCCTGATCTGCTGTAGCTTTTGTATGATATTGTCTGAAATAGGATGTATTTGTGACGTTATGAGGGACAGTCTTTACAATTTGTGTGGATAAAGATGAAAATAAACTAATAACCTGTGAAAACATAAAACCTAAAGATAAATAACTCCTCATAGCAATTTACCATAATAGAACAAGGCTGGAGACAATTCCGTATCAACACCTCTACTTAAAGGTGCAGTATGTAAGAATATAGTGAGAATTTTACAGTGAGAAAATCCCAAAAGAGTCTGTTTCAGTCATTTTAGGAAGGTCATACTGAAACATGCTTCATATCTAGCTGGCTGTGGTTACTGTCAGTTTTTCTCCTTTCAGAATAAAGGAAGGAGGGACATAACTACTGTTTACCATCAGTGAGTGTGGGGTTACCGTGTCTCCTGCAAGCTAATCCTGCAGTGCTGACAGTTGTAATTTGACGACAGCTGGCAAAAATCTCCAGAGATGTTTAAAGTGGTTGCAGTAACCACATTTTACCACAATAAGTAATTTTTTACATCATTTATACATAATTCACCTTTAACTAGCATTGATGTCTTCATAATTTGGATCATAAAACACATCTTTATCTTACACTTGTTCTCACTTTCCTGAATTATAAATTCCTTCTCTAAACCTATAAAATGTAAAAAACTTGGAAGCCTTTTATTGTTTAGTTGTAAAGTCGTTCCAATATCTTTAAAGGTGTGGTTCACTCATTTAATCAATACATTTGCCGTGATCTCTGGTAGGAATGAATGCCTTGCAAGCTGTACTCGGGGCAAAAAACAAACAAACACAGGAACGCTTGGATCGGCACTGACAAGTCTGCTGCTGCAGAGAGTGGCAGAACACGACAAGATTATTATTATTTACTGATATATGGACATGGTGTCTTGGATTGGATAACAGCAACTTGCAAACATGGATGTTTTACCTCCGCAAATAACACAAACCTAGAAGTGTTTTTCCTGTGTGGTGTTGATGCTAATGCTAACGGTTAGCTTCTAACGGTTGTCTTCTGATTCCTGAATGTTAAAACAACAGCCTTCCCCGTCGTGAGCTAAGATGGGTGAGTCCATGAATGTTCAGTGACAGTATGATGTAGAATTGTCAGGCTTTTCAATTCCTAGATTTTCCCAGTTTATTTTCTTGCAGAGAATTGACAGCATTGTTTTGTAAAAATTGCTATAGTCCCTCCAGCGTGTCTTGGGTCTTCCCTTGGGTCTCCTCCCAGGTGGACGTGCCTGGAAAACCTCACCAGGGAAGCGTCCAGGAGACATCCTAACTAGATGCCCGAGCCACTTCAACTGGCTCCTCTCGACGTGGAGGTCCAGCGGGTCTATTCCAAGCCCCTCCCAGATAACCAAGCTTCTCACCCTATCTCTAAGGGAGAGCCCAGACACCCCGTGGAGAAAAATCATTTTGGCCATTAGGAATTTTTAACAGTCGCATTTATTTCTACTGTTTTCAAAATGTGTTTCATATCCTCCTCATCTTGAACACTGGTGTCATTAGCAAAACCAAAACAAAGTTTAACTCGTTGTAAGGCATGAATAACATAGTACCCAGTACCAGAGATGGAGAATTGTGGCATCAACAAGTCATCTCCATGACATGTTCTTTTTTTTTCAGTTCAACAACTAAACCAGGTGATTTCCATCAACACAGTGAATGAAACTGGCACGGCATGGAGTTGACTTGTTAATGCCACAATTCCCATCTCTGCCAAGTACTGAGCCTTGTGGTACACCACAGGCTACTTTATTCAGTAGAACCAACTGCTATTGATTTTTGTAAACTGGTGCGTTTATTCCTTCTCTTTTGTCCTTCATAGGTTTTGTTGCATGTTTATCAGAACAACGTGTTCACCCTTATGTCCAGCATTAATATGCCAAGCCAGGAATCGGAGCTAACTAACTTCATGGTCAAGCAGGAAGGTGAGACAGTGAAAACCTCAGAGTGAGGTAATCTGATTTGATTACAGTTCACAGGAACAAATGATTTAATCGTGTTTGTTTTCAGCCAAACTAGAGGACTGGAAAGCTACTAAACTAAGTGTAAGTGAAGTATTTGAAATCATAACGTTGCTTTTAATTGATCTTAAATGTGTGCTAAATTAGCTGTAAAATGTTTTATTTATTTTACTGCAGGACCACAAGAGAGGCTTTGAGAAAATGTGGCTTGGTTTTCTCAAGTACAAGGTGAACATCCGGACTTCAGAATCCACAGTTTTATTATTTGCACTTGCTTAGTATTTTTGGTTTGTTTATATGTGTTCCAGTTGCCCGTCAGCATGTATAAAAAGGTGTTGGTGATCCTTCATGATGCCGTTTTACCACACATGATCAAACCCACGTTGATGATCGACTTTCTGACGGCTGCGTATGATGTTGGTAGGTTGAATCCATCTCCGCTGTTACGGTCTTTATAGCAGCCACTGTGAGCTGAGCTTACATTAGTGAACATTAATCATAAACTTTTTATCTATAATGAAAATATAACTATTAGTGTTCATATAGACAATGGAGTAATTAAACTTTTCAAGGACAGCTTTGTAAAATAAAAGAACTCAGTATTTAAGTGCTAGTAATTATTTTTGGACTTTTATTATTATTGATGCTCTTTATAAGTATCCATGCATAGCAGCATGCAGCACATCTTTTACATGAGATAGTTGGTCACTAACAGGATGATCTGATCTGATTGTGATACTGAACAGGTGGTGCAATCAGCCTGCTGGCTCTCAATGGTCTTTTTGTGCTCATACATCAACACAACCTGTGAGTATTTTATGAAAACCTGAATTTAGTAGCATGAGTGACTCTTGTACATCCTGTCTGTTGTGTGCTTTTCCAGAGACTATCCTGATTTCTACAGAAAGCTGTACAATCTTCTCGAGCCCTCTGTTTTCCACGCCAAGTACAGAGCACGCTTTTTTCATCTCGTCAATCTCTTCCTTAGTTCCAGGTAGGTTTATTCCTCCTACAGCTCTGTTTTTAAGTTTGTGTAGTTTAAGAATTGTTCCTGCTTGTCTCCAGCCACCTGCCCGTTTACCTGGTCGCTGCCTTTGCTAAGCGCCTGGCTCGTCTGGCTCTCACCGCTCCACCTACGGCTCTTCTCATTGTGCTGCCGTTCATTTATAACCTGATCCGTCGCCATCCATCCTGCAGAGTCCTGATTCACAAGCCCACAGCAGAAGACGGTCCGACAGCCTGGCTTCAGTTGATTTTTGTGGTTCTTATTGTAGTTTTCTGACTTGCTTCCACATCATGCGGCTTTGTGTGTGTGGGACATTTGTTTCTATTAACGCAGAAGCTCTTGAGGATCCGTATGTGATGGATGAAGAGGATCCAGTTCATTGCTGCGCCTTAGAGAGCAGCTTGTGGGAAATTAAGGTGTGTGTGTGTGTGTGTGTGTGTGTGTGTGATAATACGTGTCACGCTGATGCTGGAACCTTTTTTATCACATCACTCCTGCTCTTTCCCGCTTTACAGACGCTGCAGAAGCATTATCATCCAGATGTGGCCAAAGCTGCAATGTTGATCAACACCCCTCTGCCGGTGCAAGAAGACGACATCAGTGAGGTGCTGGAGATAACAACCCATGAGGTGATGGAACATCTTTAAAAAAGAGCTGAAAATGTTTCCTGGGATCTCGGTTCTTCTTTACAGCTGTGCATGTTTCAGTGAGTGAAAAAAGTCAATCTAGGGATAAACATCGTACCACAGAAAATAAAAAAATCTAAACATCAGTCAAAAGTTGGTGTTTCTGTTAGTTGTGCAGCATTAGCTAAATATCATAAACTGATTTCTTTTTTGTTTTAAGTAAATTACAGTTTTAACTTCTACTATTAACAGAAAATTAAAGAGGGTTTGAAATCTCACTTCAGATGAACAATAATGAATCATGAATCTGGGTGGAATACAGTAAATCAGAACTGCTGGCTGTTAGAGACGTGGCCAAACTCCAGGAGTATTTTAATTAAGTATACCTACACAGAGTTGTCTGTAAGTGATTTGTGACACAATAAATTTGATATTTAAATATGTCCCATTTTCTGGCTCGCAGCTGATGGAACGAGACCTGAAGTCTGAGACGAAGAGCGTCCCACTGGAGTTTGAGACAGCCACTGAGTTACTGAGAGGAGGAGATGTGATAAAGCAACACTTCAGTCTGGTTTAAACAGCAAAATATGGATTGGAGTGATTGGGCTTTGTTGAGTAAAAACAGCAGTTATGTCATCAGGATCAGAAGCAGCTACAAGAACAAATGTTTATATATTTGGTTGCTTTGATATGTGCTAAATAAACATCAATAAGTCAGTTTCCTTCATCTCTTGAACATTTTTCAGGTGTTGATTCTCTCACACACACACACACACACACACACACACACACACACACACACACACACACACACACACACACACACACACACACACACACACACACACACACACACACACTATATTTCTTTCCACATAAAACATCTGGCAGATTGAGATTGTTCACCTTTACCTGTCCGGTGCTGTTCAGGTCTACTGCCCTCTGGTGGAGGATCTACAAGTGGCAAGGGCCAATTATAATTCATATTACTTTATTTGTTTAATTATTGCTATATATCAGCATAAAAATATTGTTGGAGTTGTTTCATTAACATTTGTTAAGTCTTTTTTTAAATTTTAGGTTTTCAAGAGTTTGTTATTTTACTTTTTTTTTAATTTTATTTATTTTTTTCATTTATTGACATTAAAATAAAAATACAGAACTAAATTGCTAAAAGCCTAAATGAAAAAGGGGACAGAAAGAAGAAAAACTTATGTTATCTGCCCCTTTTAACTAAAATAACATTAATACAAATGAAACAATCATGATTCTTAACAAAATTGAACAACATAGTTCCTGGACTTGTTGGCCGACACAACCCCAACCCATGAAATGAAAAAAAGAGAGAAAACAATTTACACAGAAAAAAGTATAAAGTTATAGACCTATATACATACATATATACACATATGAATACATACTTGTTTCCTTTATTTATTTTTTCATCCCCCAACCCCCCTCCCCTCACACATTTATGTAACAGATCTATATAAGTTAATTTCATTTTTTATCTCTTTTTTTTTGAAAGTCAATATTGTTTTTGCATTCTTGATTTCAGTATTTAGTTTATTCCACAGTTAAACTCCATATATGGACACACAATGTTCCTTTACGAGTATCCGATGTGTAGGTATGTTAAATAATTCATGTCCTTATAAATCATATTTGCTATGTCTTTTTGAAAATCAGGTGCATACCCTTTGTTTGCATTATACATACATTTTAAAATATTGTAGTCCACCAGATCATAGAATTTTAGTGTTTTTAATTTAATAAATAATGGATTGGACGGATCTCTGTAGTTGCTCCTTGTGATTATTCGTATTGCTTTTTTCTGTAAGATGTAAATGGAATTTATGTACGTTTTATATGTTGTTCCCCAGATTTCAATGCAGTAGTTCAGGTGCGGTATGATCAGTGAGTTATATAACAACTATAGGGAATTATTATCAAGCAACCCTTTTGCTCTATGTAACAGTGCAATTGTTTTAGATATTTTAGTTTTGACACTGTTTATATGCAGCTTCCAAAACATTTTTTCATCAATGATACTCCCAGATACTTGACTTCTCTCTTTTAATGTTAATCTCATCTGTATTTAATAAAATTTCATCATTTGAATATGTATTACTAAATATCATAAAACATGATTTATCACAGTTTAATATTTAAACGTGTCAACAGCACAAAGAGGGTTATGCAACCTTGCATTAGGTCTGTACATCTATGTGATGGAAAAAGGCTCAACTTAAATGTTTAATAGGAACTTCAGATATAAATGGTGTTTAGGATTCAAATGTTAAGTTTTCAAGGATAATTTCTTTTGATTAACATTTTAAATTGGGTTGGTTTGTGAATTACCGGTTCAAACTGCAGAACTCAGAACTACAAAAAAATAAAAAAATGGTTTAAATGGAATAAATTATCACTAAACTTGAATAAAACTAAAATCATGTTTGGGAACAGCAGCCTAAATTTACAAGAACAAATCCAAATTGATGGTGTAAGAATTAAAATAGTGAAGGAGATCAGATTTCTTGGTGTAATAATAGACAATAAAATCAGCTGGAAAGCTCACATTAAACATAAGCAATAAAATCTAAAGAAGCATCTTATTATTAGATAAAGTCAAACACATAAGTCACTCCACCTTCTATACAGTTCACTTATTTCCACATATTTAAATTTCTGTACAGAGGTTTGGAGAAACACCTATAAATTTGCATTATCATCATTATCTGTGTTACAGAAGAGGACTCTAAGGGTCATTCATAACACTGGTTACAGAGATCATACAAACTCATTATTTTTAAAATCACAAATCTTAAAATTTCCAGAGATAGTTCAGTTTAAAACAGCGCAGCTCATGTATAAAGTAAACAATAAACTACTTCCAGACAACATATTACAACTGTTCCATAAAAGGGAGGGGAGGTATCAGTTAAGAGGGGAGTTAAAATTCAAACATGCTCGAGTCCGAACAACATTAAAAACCTTCAGTGTGTCTGTGTGTGTGTGTGTCTGTCTGTGTGTGTGTGTGTGTGTGTGTGTGTGTGTGTGTGTGTGTGCGCGGGGTGAAACTGTGGAACAGAATGAGTGATGAATTGAAGCAATGTCCAAACATGATGCTGTTAAAAAAAGGCTTCGACTCATGATGTTTACCAAATACAAGGAAGAAGGTCCAAAAGTGTGTGCCTAAACACAAAATGTTTGTATTTATGATATGATCTTGGTAAACCATGTGCCATTTGTGTGAATATGTTGCAAAGTAATTTGCCAAAAACTACCAGACAACATTAAATAACTATTAGTTATTTGATGTCGAGAAAGGGGTGGGATTAAATAAGCTGATGCTTCTTCCTACTCCCTTTAGATTAGAACATGTGTAAAAAAAATAAAAAAATAAAAAAAAACGAGAAGGAGAGGTTGTGTTGTGTGTGTTACTATGTGTATGTAAGCATGTTCAAAATAAAGACAAAGACAAAATGATGTCAATTACTTGTTATCTAGTAAAAAACTCATCTTTATTTCACTAAAACTTTGAAATGTGTCTAGAATTATCTGAAATCCATGTTGGGTCAGACCTAAAGAGACTACGTGTAGTTTTTACCATTTATCCCTGGAAATGTCCATCAAAATGTTGAAAATGAATTAAATGATGCCTGGTTGAGAAATATTGGGGGCTTTGTAACATTACCATAAAAACCGGGTCTAAAGTACATGAGAGTTGGTGTAAGTGGGCGACGCCATGTTAGATGTCATGTTTCCTTCTACAAGAACCCATGAGGACAAAATGCATTTACTGATTTGTACCAAATGGTTATAAAACTTTCACTTTTCATAAACTTTGTTATACACATTTATGTCTTCGCTCGTTGGCAGTGATAAAAGGGAGTCTGGTGTGTTTGTCATTTTGCTGGAGGTTGCTTTCCCAGGGATTTTTTGACCCTAATGGCCATTCGTTGTTAAGGTCTTAATCAGAGAAATTCTGCTTGCTTGCAATGATTCAGGTAGGTACTGCCCCCTTTTGCCAGGGAAAACACACACAGTCACTTTTAACTAATGAAATTAAACAATTTTGTGAAATTGAACAACAAAATGACATGTTCACATAATCTGTGCACCATATCAGGGCCGTTGTTCTCACCAAGAGATTTTATTCATTTACTGACCTGCTGTCAGAAATCTTGACTTATTTTTAAATTCTCAATTTAGCATCTGCTGTATGAGAAGACCCCTGATCCATACATCTGACACAACAATTCCTTTTTATAATTTTTAACTGAATTAATTCCTGCAACAGAGTAAAGAAGAATAACAGATTTGAAAGTGTCAGTGATTTTATCAACAACGCAGTGCCTGCATCCAGAGAAAAATAGACAAATCAATCAGACAAGTCTCCAAATTGCAGTGAGGGGGCAGGAGCACGAGGCAACCGCCCCGAGCTCCTGATCTCAAGGTTTATTTATAACATAAGATAAGAAAGGAACGGAAGGTGTGTGTTGAAGTGTATGTGTGGGTGTGTGTGAGTGGCTTAAAGGAATGTGTGGGTGTGTCTGAATAAATGAGCATGCATTCAGGCATAGAGTAATACATATTACATTCAGTTAATTGCATCAATGATCAAGAAATAATAAACATAAAATTTCCAGAACAGAAAATAAAGTGAAAAGTTGATTATTCTCTTCTCCAACAAAGATGGCACTTGATTTGTGAGGCTCTTCTTTCCCAGGTGAGGACTTCAGTGCTGATTTTTATTTATTTTTTGCATCTCTTCTTCACGTTTCTCCTGTTAAGCGTAGCATAAGGTCTCACAGCAAGCAGCCCCAAGTACAAGAACACCGTGAGGGGAATTTCTGATTCATTAGTCGCATGTTTCGTCAAAGAGGTGAGTTGGGACTGCAATGTTTCCCAAGATGCTTCAAACTTCAAATTACCTTCAAATTTAATGAGGCATTCAACATAATTCCTGCATAACAGTACATTTGTTATTTTTTGAGGGGCTTTTTTCTCTTTATAAACCAAAGCGATGGACACAGATTGGAGCAAGGAAAGCTAGAAGATGTGAAAATGCAAAAGGAGTTTGATCAGAAGTAGAAAAACAGAAGACATCCGTTCCCACAGGTAAGAATGTGTTTGGGGGTTTCATGATTTGTATTTAATGGTATTTTTTTTGCCACAGATTACTAAAAACACATCACCTAATTACACAAGAAAATATTTAGACAATTCTATGCTAAATTATTAGAAAATGGTTTGACTCCTTCAGTGCAAATAATAGCAGTCTTTTGCACAGCAGTGTACTCACTTTGTGCATGAAAATATTTGAATCAGATAATTATGTATGCACAGTGCAATAGTTAAAAGTGGTATGCCTGCAGAGTTCTAATGAGCTAAATGTATTATATAAAAGAGCTTTGACATCATGGAGGTCCTGACTGGTTGAGCTGCCTAGTCTGTGCTCCTCCTCCACACTCCCCTGCAAGGAGATGGAAGGGTGAGTCAGCACAGAAAATCAGTTTGAGCATTTGCCTGAGACTTTAAAAGGTTCAGAGAGGGAGATGAAGAGAAGAAAACTGTTGGTGCAAGATTTGTAATGAATAATTTTGAGACTGTGTTGTTGTCGTTGTAATATTTCATTCAGAAAAAGACATTCAGATTTGAGCAATACAAAAGCCCCAAAAAATACAAAAGCCTATATCTATATTGGCTGCACTCTGTTTGTAGCAGTGCTGCCTCGCAGTAAGAAGGTTACAGGTTTGAATCCTTTGCTGCAACCATCATGCCGAACACATTCTCAAGCACGCATGGATTTTTGTCCAACTGGCAAAAATGGTAGGTTGATTGGCCAAGGTGTCCCCTGCATTTCACCCAATGACCACTGCAGACGGGAACCAGTTCCCCACAACCCTACTGAGTAGTAAGAGGTTAAGAAGATGAGTGAGTGAGTCATCTACCTCCTGAAATCTGCTGCAGTTTCAATTTAGTAACCACAAAACTAATCAAAAACAAATGTGCTATTTTACTAACACTGTTAAATCCCACATGTCACAGTTGTGTAGCTATTGTTAGAATGAGCTTCCCCTGTGTGTGTGTGTGTGTGTGTGTGTGTGTGTGTGTGTGTGTGTGTGTGTGTGTGTCTACACAAAGGTGCATCCAGGTCACCACAGTCAGGGACTGACCTCCCGCTGATGGAGGCTGATGCATTTTTCTCCATGCATCCCCGTCATCATGTTGTAATCTGGTCTTACATAACTGAGAGGAGTTGTTTTTCTCACTAGCACACACACACACACACACACACACACACACACACACACACACACACACACACACACACACACACACACACACACACACACACACACACACACACACACACACACAGACACACACACACACACACACACACACACACACACACACACACACACACACACACACACACACACACACACACACACACACACACACACACACACTGAAATGGCTCCAGTGGGCAGTATCATTTAATTGAAAAGGGGATTTGACTTTCAGTCTGACTACTCATTATTATGAAGCGCAGAAGACTTATTAGAACAAGAAAGTTATGATAAAAATAATCAATGAAAAGAGGGTTGGACCTGATCGCTGAGTGCAGAAAGGTCGTTTGGATTTGTTGGAGCTCACAGTGGACTTTTATTGTAGGTAAGTGTTTTTGTCACATGCAAGTTTGTTTTGATTCACAAGCATTGTGTGAAGAAGGGATAATGAATGAATGAATTACAGTTTACAAACCTGAACCATTAAGT